TCACTTCGAGATACAGTATGATCAGATATCAGAAGGTGCAAACCTTGGCTTTCTCCTCAAGAAAAAATTAAACCTGTTGAGCAAAAAAAAAATCGGAGCAATTGAATACCATTGTGAAAGATAAAGACCATCTTGCTCTTTCGCAGCTTTTTGATAACTTTCAAAAGGTCCAAAGATAATGTCGATAAGTACTGCTCGTTCAGAACTCCAATGACTTGGGATTGGTGTTTCGGTAGTGCAAAGGGTAAAAAGTGACAAAAAAGCACAATCAAGTGTTTGGGTGCCATACGAGTCGTTCGACCCTTAATTCAGTAACCTCGGCCTGACTTTTCCATCGCTGAGCACGGTAAAGAATCATTCTTCTACTGCATTCTGTCAAAAAAGCATCGAAATACCTCTTCCTTTTCTTGCATCATGTACAAGGTAACACCTATTGTCGACGAATTTTAGGGGTCAGTAAATTTGTAAATGGCCCAGCATGAAAAAGGATCGATTTATTTCGAGAAAAAATAATCACAACTCTTTTGAACCTTTCAGAAAAGCCATCTACGTTTGAGCATCGTATGTGGAACTGACCAATATTGCAAAAGCATCGGTCACGTCACACTTGGACCGAAAACAAGCGGAAAGGTGAGCGTTATCTATGCTGAAAAATCTGTTTGGCGTGAGCCGTGCTTTCAGCATTCATCATAAATCGTAGCAATAAGATGCATACATTGTGTGTTACTCAAAAAGACACCAGCTGGGAGAAATGAATAGGGGATTGATGTCCAATGCCTGCCTTCCTCTCACCGAATTCATGCTTCTGAACCTATTCTTTAATTTTTGAACGGGCTTTGGCCGAAAATGAACAAAATGAAGGGGGTTTCACAGGTCCCAAAAGGGATTTGATCTCCCACGTAGGAAAACTGAAAAACAGCTTCTTCTGGGACACTAGTTGCATAGGTTTGTGTGCATGAATAAATATGTTTATTTCCACTAATGAGGGCGTGGGTAGTAGTAAGTGGCTAACTATCACACAAGCATGGCCACGTGTTTAAATACCAAATCGACGCCTGAGCCGACCGAGCCCCCCCCCCCCCCCCTTCTATCCTTGTTTGGTTGATTGGTGTCAGATCCGTCTGGGTGAATAAAAGCACTCACTTGTACATCGGCTGCCCAACGTAAGACATTGTATAGGTCACATGCGCCTTCGATACGACACTACGATTCTGAATGGAAGTTGAAGGCGGGGGCACATCCCTCAGATGGGCTTGATTGACGCCCCGAGACTTTATCCTTAATCCTTTGTATCGATTAATCGAGGCAAAGGAAGTGACGCGGGAGAGGATGGGAAGCCCTATTCGGAAGCCCAATGGGAAAAGGGCCAGACGATCCAGCTAGTTCACCTGTGTTGCCTGCGACCCTTTACACTGAATAAGAGTTTCAAAGTTTGATTTGGGCTCCGTGTGGCCCCACAGACATCTGCCCTTCTCTGTCCTATCTCCTCCACATTGTGTATTCTGCCATGACAGATCTTCCTTTCTTCTTTCTTCTTTTGACGAAAATCAGTCTCGTTTGAGGGATGCGCCCCGCATTCGACTCCATTCAGAATCGTAGTGGCGTAATGAATGCGTATGTGGCCTATACAGTGTATTGCTGTGGCCAGTCGATGTATGAGTCAGTGTTTTATCCTTCCATCCAGGTCTGGCACCGATCTACCGACCCCGGCGGGATGAAAGGCTCGGTGCCCAGGCGGATATCGATCCGGAATTCTAACTTGTGACCATGCGTACTCACCACCTCCACCCACCGTGACAGATTAGTTATAAGTAATTCAAGCATGATTTCACACATTGGCTAATATTTCAGGAACTTGGTCACTGGAAACGTGCCCTTAGCGGTGAAGGACCTCCATTGGCAACTTGGCATGCAGTTCGACCGCGAAGTACAGCCTTAGGACTTTGAGATCAAGTTGTTTTGTTCTATAAAGTGGCTACGGTGTAATGTCATGTAATTACGTACGGATACTCATCTTCCATATCCGTTTCATGTATGTTTCCTTTGTGTTTCTTACCTTGCTTGTTATTGTTTTTCTTCATTTTCGCAATCATCGTTTTATTTCTTCCCCATTCATCCGGTGACCAAACCATATCGCTTTTGTTCGCTGATCAATATATATCAATCGATGAAAGAAGGTTTATCAAAAATCTGTCGATAAAAAGTAATATATGTAAAATAGTTGTTCCAGTTCTGAACCTAATGAGATGGCCCCTTGTGCAACTGAATCGTTTCAAATTTGTCGCAGTAGTCCTACATCTTCAGAACTATAAAAGGTATTCTCACCAGCTGCCGTTGGTCCTCTCCTGAACAAAGTTTAGGTGGGCCGAACGCTGTGCGATATCGTGATGGCAGCTGAACCAGGGCGGTTCTTGGCTGGATTCTCGGGACGTCAAAGCAACGCTGACATGGCCACCAGCGCGATGGTCGGACTCCTTCACGGATGATCTGAACGGAAGGAATGCCATGCCACGGGTCGCCAGAGCGGGTACGAGGGGTATGTCAACTGGTCTACTTTGGCACGTGCCAAGGACTAATAGAGGTACCACTTTGTGACGCTCAAGCAAATCGATGATCAACGGGACGAAAGGTGATATAGGTGGTTCTGGGCAAATCTGCCTTCGTATCCAATAATCAATATTTATCAAAAAATTCCAAGTGAAAACAGAAGGTTTGGGACAGATGGTTGTTTGGAAATAAAGGAATAAAATTAGTAGGCTCAGTAAACTGAGTAAGTTCATGATCCGCAATGGGCTTTACTGCTAATTTTTTCTGCAATCGGGAGGGATGTGAAACGTCGTGGGGCATACATTATGATTGCTCTGTGATGATGAGACTCATCAATTTGTTCAGCTGTATCCACGAGTGCCTGGAAAAGATCCCATGTGGAGTGGGGATTGCCCAAGTACCCCTCCCTTTCCCTCGTCTCCTCTCCCTAATCCTCCTACGATATCTTCCCCAAAGATTTTCCCAGAATAGATGTGACCAGCATAGAATGAATACAATGATTTTCGGTACTCAGGAGCATATCAGCTCAAGTGGGCCGAGGCACTCACATCAATTTGTACCCAGTTGCATCACGAACAAGAGGCGACGGTGAAAGTAGGAACGATCATGGTATCAGTTTGGGTAGGGACAAGTAATCGTGATATCGAATGCACGATCGATGGATCAATTCTTGGGTTATCGATATTCCAAAGATCTCATTCTCTCACATCTCCCTGACCCGTTAGATGGTATGGGACTTTAAAAAAAGGTTCGTTAAGATGATGTTGTCCCTGATATCGTCATCTTTCACAATACCACCTGTTGCTTGCATACAACCATCTCGTGGGAACTCCTTCCCCGTCTTGTGTCAAGGATAATGCAGATTTTTTTGGTGTTCAGGGAGAGAGAAATCGTACATGTCCACAGATCCCAACTGGTACATTACCATCCAGAAAATTAACGAGCCCTCGTTTCAATGTGATGTCCCTTGAAAACTCTTTAAGATCCCTGTGGAGCCGGGAACGGTCTTTGGAATAGAGCATCGGGAGACTGACACACAAAAGGATATCAGAAGGATGATATGTTTTAATAACAACGTTAGAGGTCTCGATCCTCTGGCCATATGTGTCGTAACGGCGCCACCTGGCATTGCTTCACCCCAGTGAAAGGCAGGTTGGCATTTCGGCTTGGCTGAACTCTTCCAGACCGCTCTCCTGAGCTCAGTTCTGGTTCTTTGAGAAGGCAGCATATTCCCAAATAAAGAAATGCAGCATTCCACCAGACAGGTTTTCGAGATCTGGCATGACGCTCGAGCCAGATACAGTAGAAAAAATAACTGGTACAATCTTCGAATAGCTTCCAGAAAGATCGCTCAGATGATCCAAATGTTAATTGCTTCCCATCTGGCGACTAACATCTGGATCATCTGAGCAAACTTCGGGACCGGAGGGCTCATTAAACACATCCTATACAGCAGATTATTGCTTTATGTTCTTTGGCTGCGACGTATCTCCTGTTGTTCAGCTTATGCTGATCATTCAACGAGAGGGGACAAAGAATTGGATGGAGTTAGATGAAGAGAACAAAGGAAGCGATCCATACTGCACCAAAACTAAATAACAATGACAACAGTGGA